TGCAACAAGCAACCTAGTGTCCTCTATTGCTTTCAATGGAAAACACACCAACTCAACTTCCCCTGCGCAAACAACACTTCCAACCTTGTTGCTTTCTGAAACATAATTTGTGGGTAGTCAACCAGTACAAAGTAAGTAGTAGTGTCACTAGAAGACTGAATGTTGCTTACGCACATCTTACGCGTCGACTGTCCTAACCTTTGCTTCCACCAAACCTTACGCAACCCTTACGCCGTGCAGACTTTAGCTTACGCGACCGTTTTGTAGATTAATCGGATCATGTGGTTCTTTCATGGAGGTTTTGAACGCTGCTCAAATGACTGCGGCACAAGAACCCGTTTCTGATAGTCGTGGCGACCCTTCTACAGCACTCTGCCTACGTTTCGAAAAATGGACCATTTCCTGCCTTGATGAAACCCGTCCTAAAATGGCTGCAGTCTTTGAGCCCAAGCTTGTTTGAGAAGGACAGCGAACCCTACCTGGATCAACAATCCCATACTGTTTGCATTGCATGTGTTCCACCATGTCATCATCTGCCATGTTCGTTTCATACTGCAAGCACCTCCCGCCTACAGATCCTTGACCGGCTCTGCAGCATCGGCCCCTAAATGGCTGCGGTCTTTGAGCCCAAGCTTGTTTGAAAAGGAAAGGAAATTGCCAGGGTCAACCGTCCCATCGTGATACCTCCGGCAGTGGTGGCGGCCCTTCAGCAGCCACGATTACTTAAAAAGGCCCTTGAACCATCGAATACCACATCATCCCTTCCCCTGATGACTCTGCTTCTCTCTGCTCCAGTTGGACCTTATATTTGCGACGTTCCAGGCGATATGGAAGCTATGTTCAGCCACGTTGAGGGAGAGCCGTTCTAGGGCCGACAATATGGACGCTATGTCGGAAACTTCCTTTCATACTCACTCCCTTGGCTCCAAGAGCACAAGCAGCTCGGGCTTCCTTCCGGGACTCGGTGGATGTATTGTCCCCTTCCATCCGGTGCGGGCGGTTACCGTCGCGAAGCGACGTGAATACAGAAAACCCATCAAAACCCTACAAGCAAAGAAAAAGTTGCCAGGTTGATTCGCTCTTCTCGGTCTTCACAAACACTTCCAAATACCCAACACCTCCGTTTGCTCTAAAAGTCTTTTCGTTCTGGGTCAGGCAAACGGCACAGAATATGACAGCCGGTTTGAGCCAGTCAAAAGGTGGTTTGACAGTCTTGCGATATCAATTTTGCTTTATGGTGTCGGTAAGATTTACCTCGACTCTTCCGGGCTATGATCTCGAGCCAGTCATCCCGCCATCATGCTTGTAAGTAGCGACCACTAGTCTCACCGTGAATGTTTTGTTGATCCCAACTCCAGCTATTGGCGGCTGAGAAATGATCAAGCCAAACTCAAACATGGGGCAACTTGCTACACAGCTGCCCCATAGAACGAAGAAACAGCAAGGGAGTGGAGTGGATATATCTTTTTACAAATGGAGCCTTATGCGGGCCAAGTGCCACCTTCACCTTGCAAAAACATGCAAAAACGTTCCTTTCTACTGGCACACAAGTCACGTGGTTTTTTGCCACAGCAGACATGTGCTCAAGCCAGCTTACATATTTTGATGTATATTGCCCTCAACAAATCAACAAAGGGTAGCAGTGTACCGTTGATGTGCTCGTGTCCTGCTCTCAATGGTACAATTGCTTGAGGCAGCAGCAGCAGCAGCAGCAAGGCATGCTCGGTTAGAAAGCTAGAGTACCCACCCATCCCAGCCTGCTGTTGCTGAATGATGGTGCTTGAAACCAAAAGTGCGGGAAAGACCTTGGAATTTGCCATATGCCGTGTTCAAAGCTTAGGAATCTGATGGAAAAAAAGGATTCATGAGTCATGAGGCGTCTGAGATCTGCCCGAGTCACTAGGTAAGCGAGGTAGTCAGACCATCCCATTTCAGGAGCCCCATCTTTCCACTGCAGCAGCCAGTCGAACCTCAAACCGAACCAATGCGTAGGGGCTCCTGGCCTTACTACTAGGTTGAAAATCCCGCACGATTTGGACTACAAGTAACGAGCTAGTATGATGTGATGATCAGTGAATTGCCAAATCCTGCCAAGGGTCTTGAACTGAAAGTCTGGGTTTGGCTGTGCGAGCGACGGTACCCAAAGCCATCCCTCCGTGTAGTGAGGAAACTTCTCAGCCGCCAAACGGCGCCAAACACCGTACAAACTCCTGCAGAGTGACGATCGCTGCACCATTTCACCATGACACCCCACTGACTGAATGAACTTGGACAGCCTGAAATCTATTTCCTGATACAACTGTATATATAATATGTACCAATATTGTATAGTACATTATAATACTGGATGTCTCATTTCATATCTGGAGGGTGACATGACCGCATGACCGTCGCTCCAAAAGATTGGGAGCTGGAGCAAAACAGGAAGGCAACCGCCAAGCCTCAGAAAAGGTTCGGTTTTTTCCACGGTTGGAACCTGTGAAACGTTGGACCTTCAGAAGGTGCCACCGAAGCGCTCCATTTTTCAACATCTAAAATGCAATAGAAAGTCGACAAAATCATGTTTCAGCTGAATCTGAGGCCCTGGCGGGTTGACATCCATGACAGAATAGAGCTGTTGCAACAATCGCTGTTGAGCTTCTGGATCGTCCTCCGCGAGACACAAATAAGTTGGGGCATTTGGTGTTGTTGTCTGTTTGACATGTTTGACTTGGGGATGCTGGTTTATAGCTAGTATAGATAGTGTTGATAACTAACAACTGATATGTTTTTCTGTGATTTGGGGTTGCTGATGGTTGGCACATGTTGGCACATTTACAATAAATAAACTATTGCAACAATGGTTTCCGCAATGATTTGTCCAGAAATATGTTGCAGGCTTTGTTGGATCAGCTGTGTTGTTGCTGCGAAACAAACTTGAACATCATCTAGAGTGCTGTTTTAAAGCAACTGCATGGATGGAAAGCATGTCAGTGCAAAGCGAGTGAGCAGTTTGTTCGCTATGCGAATGAGCTTGTTGATCGCACTTTTCTGGCTGAGACAGTTTTGTTGGCAGAGCTGGCAGCCAGCTGAGAAGTCTGGCGTGGCAGCTTTTTCAGTCGCGGTGCCACTGGTGTGGCCTAATGATGATGCTGGGTTGTCGGATTCAATATCCCAGAGGCATTGCAAATACCAGTGGCTGCCATTGAAGCGCTTAAAGCTGTCACTGTGGCCCGAAGAGTTTCTCAACTGTCACTGTAGACAAGTGGTGGGCAGTGTGGTAGCACAGAAAAGAATCTGTTTGTAGACTTTAACCACGCCTGCATGGCATAGATCTACATAGACCCCAAAGGCATTTTCGATACTTTCTGCTCGCTTTGTCTCTCACAGTCTCACAATGGCAAAATGCAAAACACGTAGGGCTAGACCAGTGGGATGGGATCATGGGACGGCTCCAGAACGCACAAGACCGAGACTGTAGCAGGCTCTGAAGTCACTCAAAAACTCCATTGTTCCACGGTTCCGCGCTGTTCCACACGAAAAGTTGCTGTAGCTTTCAGCTATGACGGGAAAAATGAAATGTGGCGTTGTTTGGGTTTCGCAGGATGTCTCATTTTTGTTTGCAGGCACATCAATCATTGGAGAGTGTGTTCCAACAGCCAATCCCTCAGCCACTACCACCAAGATGGTCCCTCGTTCAATTCCACCAGTGGACCGCAGTTGATCCGGGCGCCTTGTACTTCTCCTGGATCTCCTTGACCTTTGGACTCAACAGCTGCATCATCGAGGTGCTCTTCAGCTGTCCCTGGCCACTCTGCAATGCTCTGCTGCTCTGCATCTCACAGTGTTTTATGTAGCTCTCTTCTCTTATGGCTTTCTAGGCACAGCTCTCTTGCCTGTGTCAAGGGGAAGAACAAGAGCTTGATAAAGGCTGTGTAAAGGACGATGGTCCATCCAAAGGCTTGCTCAACACCTCAGAGACTTAAAGAACCTTGTTACTAGTAGCGACGCCCTTGTTGCTAGTAGCGATGCGTCTAGGGTCCTGAATCTTCAAACAATCATGGTAAAGACTGATTTATCAAATCTGTCTGAGGTCTGTGCCATTGTCACGCAGCAACTGGTCCATGCCCTTGATGAGACCAGCCTGAAATCCAATGAAGCCGTTCCACCAGTCATCTGTAATCGGCTTGTTGTTCATGGGGTCCACCAAGACTGCTCCATCAGAACCATAAAGATATGTCGTATTGGGGTCCAATTCCACTTCTGCTGCATAAGCAGGAGGAACGATTTCATGGGCAAGCTTACCTGCGCCTTCGGAGAGGCTGTCCGCCCACTGCTGCAACGCTGCAGCTAGATCTGCTGCTGGCACAGAATTGCCATGAGCATGTTGCCAAAACTGTTGCACTTGCTCCAGAAAGTCGTTGGGATTGGCATTGCCATGATCCCACGCTTGAGCGTGCACTTGCTGCAGAAAGTCCAGAGTTTCAGGTACGGCTCGCCGCTGCAGTTTGCGACGAGCTTTCCTAAGCCCAGCTCCTGCTGTAGCCATACCAGCCAAAGCCAAGCCCCAGCGTTGCAAAGCTCGGGGTGAGGCCTCAGCTCTAGGTGCTGGCTCAGCCTGTCCTGCGCGTGTTGCCGCATGTCCTGCGCTACTTCGACCATGGGAAATTGATGGGCTTCGGATGGCGGTGAAAGCCTCAGCACGGCTCATTGCTAAAGCACCTGCGGCTGCCGCTGCGACTGCTACAGCACGGATCTCTGGCCGCTCCATGACTTTACTATGACCTACCATGCGCTGTATCAAAGGTGGCTGCGACCTGAATCAAGTGAATTTGTGAATTTGCGACGTCAAGATCAAAAAACGAAATCAATCGAACATTACTTGCATTGCTGTCTGCTTCGAGCAAGTCGGACGAGCTACTTTTTTCCTGCCGGGAGAGTCCAATTGCTCTCGACTTCAGTCGTGGCGTTGGTTGATACTTCAGACAGTCACGGGCAGCTGACGAAATCGAAATTCGATCCACTCGATCCTTTCCTCCTTTTCGTCTCAGAGTTCATCAAAGGATTGGCCATCCGAATAGGAGCCAAAGGGCAAATAGCCCACCTGTAAATTGAAAGGCTTCTTGCTTGACCCTTTGTGGTTAGATCATAGATCCCTGAAAGCGGCCTCAATCTTGTCATCACCCTCGGGTAAAACCAGCCTCAGCATCAACTTGAATCATGGCTAAGGCAGAGCAAAAGTACCATCAGCTAGTTGTTGCAAAATTGGTGCCTTGTTTGTTCAAATGCAATTTGGCCAGGATTGTTTTGCCAAAACATGGCTTTCTTTGTAAAATGGCAGACTCAGCCGCAAATGCTTTCCAACACTATTTATCGATAGAGCATTGACAATCTATCATGTCATAACCGTCGGATTCTATGTTGGTACACTCTGCGTGTGTGTTGACTTCTTGGCGTTCATACGGTCAGGGATAAATCGACAAATAGTTTTGATACAAAATCCGTAAATCTAATCAAATACACGTTTGAACTAATGTCCAAAAATGAGGCCATCGCTAGTAGGTTGGAGGCCATTGCTTTTAGGCCATCGCTATGAGGTTGGAGACCAATCGCCAGTAGCTTGGAGGCCATTGCTGTTAGGCAGGAGGCCATTGCAGTAGGTTGGAGACAATCGCTAGTCGGCTGGAGGCCATCGCTACTAAAGGTTGGAGGCTCTTAGGTTGGAGGCCATCGCTAGTAGGTCGGAGGCCATCGCTAGTAGGTTGGAGGCCATCGCTAGTAGGTTGGAGGCCATCGCTGTTAGGTTGGAGGCTATGAGGCTATCGCTAGTAGGTTGGAGGCCATCGCTAGTAGGTTGGAGGCCATCGCTAGTAGGTTGGAGGCCTTCGCTATTAGGTTGGAGGCCATCGCTATTAAATTAGGTTGGAGGCCATTGCTAGTAGGTTGGAGGCAATCGCTAGTAGGTTGGAGGCCATTGCTATTTAACTTAACTATTTTATTTGTAGGTTGGAGATCTTAGAAACTGGAGACCCGTCTTTTCTCATTTTTCTCCTGATATCGTCCTTTTATCGACTTTGGCAAGGCCCCAAGATCCACCAACCCAAGATCCACCAAGCCGCTCTGGGTAGCAATAGATCTGCTTGCAGTTCTTGTACCTCAAACGATATCACAGGTGCACCACATGAGATCCAGCACGCAAAGCAGTCGATCAAAGTGGTTACAAAATGTTACAAAAGCCGAAAGCTCTGCGTGTCCAGTCGATCTCTGAGATTGTGCCCGCCAAAGTCGAAGGGATTCTGCCCTTCCCGGTAGTAGTTCTTCACCTGCCAAGAACTCACTCGCGACTTGCGTCCAATTTCAGGTAAGCCGACAAAAAATGGCACATGCTCATTGGTCGTCAAATTCTGTATGGAGATCACGGTGTGGTACACTGCAAGAAGCATGACCTAGCACCACACTGGAGTTGCTTGAGGAATCACTTCTACATCCACACTGAGGGCTGGACTGCGAACATCAAGAAAAGACAATATATAAAGAAAAATACCATGTAGAGATCCTGCATAATCAGAATCACAATGCATCAAGTGCTATGAGCGCTGGTTCATCTACAATTTTACGTAAATCCTGTGTCAGCACATAGAGCACATCCAGGATGCCATAGTCTGGGCCAAAGAGATCCGCTGCCTGTCAGATGACTCCAGATGACCAGACAGGGATTCAACAGTGGCAGGCAGGACTTCAAGGACGAAATAGCAGGCCTGACCAAACCAGCGTGCCGCCCTGCCTCCTGACCAAAACAGCAGCCGCTCACATAAAGGCACCTTGAAATAAACAGGGCGAGCTGAAATGGAGCTGTCGCTGAGCTTGGGGGACGAAGAGCACGATGCTAGTGACAAGACGACTTGAGATTTCCGGGGGAAAGCATTTTTGGACGTGGCAAGAGATAGTTGATGAGAGGCTCAGATCCCTACAACCGATATCTTGAAGGAAAAGTATAGAAAAAGTAGGGCTTACCGCTCACCCCCGGACCTATTATTGACTCTTTTGAAGTAATGAAGTAGATATAGTAGTGCGGGTGAAGGCCGAAGCCCATTTTCAGGCAAGCAACTCGAAGAGGAAAATGGTGGCAGCATAGATCAGAACTACAAAGTAGCGGTAGTTGTAAAGGCCCACCTCAAATGGCTTTCGAATGAATTCCACTGCATCCCAGTCTGAAATGGTTGAACAATCTCAAGGATGCTAAAAACTGAGCCATCCTGCACAGTTCCCCAACCAGGTGCAGTGATGATCAAAGCGCAAAATACAATTGTCACCTGCAGCTCCAGACACATCGTAGGTGCAATGCATATCTTCCCTTGCAAAAACTACAGTAGAAACTGGAAACTCCATCTCTGCATGCTTGGCTGACACACAAACTTTTGCAAACAAAGGTGAGAGATGGTTTCATCAGTTGTGCTCAGCTCAAACAAAAAATACACACGTTCTACATCCACAAACTAGTCGGAGGCACAGAAAGAGCAGTGCTTCGAACGTGGTGGTCTAAAAATGTTGCATGTGGCGCAAAACCTCGCTCAAATTTGCGCGGCCGTCATCATTGACCGGCAATTTAGAATGATCCAAATCTGAACCTGTGTCAATGTGCCTGCAATGACCTGTCGCTGGATCTGCAGCAAACCAGAGGAGAAAGCATGGCAAGCTGAGAACACCGCTTCTGCTTGACAGTGATTTCGCAAATCTTCCTTAGCCACTCTAGCGGCGCTTGGACGTTCTTTTGCAACTGAACATCAGCCACATCGTACCACACTGCTGCTGAGAGGCAAAAAGCGATGCCGAGGAACACCTCTTAAGTCCATTTGTTGCTCTAGCTCCTGTGAGTCGCCGCAAAGTATCATGTTCAACCCTCGTTTGCGAAAACAAATGATCCCCACTGTGATCATAAAAGGGTCGTGCCGGGTCCCGCGGAATGGACTCGTTTCGCGGAATGATCCCTGGATTCATGGTCGACCTGACAAATAGAGACAGGTGAACTGCTGTGCTGGGGTACTGCTTTGGTCGCCAGTTTCCCGTTCTGAGGCTTGCGGCGCTAAGAAAAAAGTCACCAGGATGATCACCCCAAGAACCTGCACAAAGCAAGAACCCATCATGATTTATCATTACTAGCGTCCTTGCTCCTAGTAACGATGCCAGGAGCCCCTAGTACCGTCCTTGCTCCTAGTAGTGATGCCAGGAGCCCCTAGTAGCGTCCTTGCTCCTAGTAGCGATGCCAGGAGCCCCTAGTAGCGTCCTTGCTCCTAGTAGCGATGCCAGGAGCCCCTAGTAGCGTCCTTGCTCCTAGTAGCGATGCCAGGAGCCCCTAGTAGCGTCCTTGCTCCTAGTAGCGATGCCAGGAGCCCCTAGTAGCGTCCTTGCTCCTAGTAGCGATGCCAGGAGCCCCTAGTAGCGTCCTTGCTCCTAGTAGTAAGGCCAGGAGCCACTAGTATCTTCTTGTTGCTAAGAGTTTCCAACAGACTCGTGGAACATCGCATTCTGGTGCGAAGGCCACTGTCCACTCTCGTCAGGCCGGCTTCAAGCATGCAACCAAGTCGCACACTGCGAGAGGCCAAGAAGAGATGTGAAAATCAAGCCTTGCTTGCATGAAAATCGGCACAGCCGAAATAAATTCAGTGAAGGGTCACCCTTCACCGTTTTTGTTCCCCTTCGCCAGGTAGCCAGGGCGAACATTCGGAAGTAGGGAGTGGAAATACCTCAGGTTTCTCCGTAGCCGGGATTTCTCCGGCTTTGGGATTGCTATTAGGTTGGAGACCATCTCTATTAGGATGGAGGCCATCGCTAGTAAGTTGGAGGCCATTGCTATTAGGCTTGATGGGGCTCTGACCATACACCAGGTCCGAAGGTCAGCGCCTGGCGAAAAGGCAACCGCGAAAAGTCTTCTCCTACTGCATGAAATCCTCTACACCAAAGCCATGGACAATCGAGGTCCAGGCAAAGGTGGATATGGCATTGGGCCACCTTACTGCAGGCAAACAAACTTCAAAGGTGAAGCGAAAGTTTCAGCTACAGTAAAGAGTCGGAGCAAAACCTCAAAGAAGGCAACTCTCTCTTTTTCTGCTTTGATCTGCGACTTCTCAGCTCATTGAGGGATTGAAACTGGGCCTCATTGACTGAGGTTCCTGCAGCTGCCCTGTAGCGAAGCGCCCACCAAAGCAGACCTGGAGTGAGGGGAAACAGGCAATAGCTGCAACAGCCGGCAACAAGATTCCGAGCCATCTGACCCATTCAACAAGCCAGGAATACTGAGCTGTTGCCCTTGTATCGGTCTCTGAGATATTCAGCGAAGCCTTGGTCCAATCCCACACACTCAAAAATCAGACAACTCGGCCCACTTGGCCCGTGACTTTCTTCGGGCCCAGAGAGCCAAGTAAGGCCCAACCTAAGGCCAGGAACTCCTAGTAGCGTCCTTGCTCCTGGTAGCGATGCCCTTTGCTCCTAGTAGCGTCCTTGCTCCTAGCTTTTGGCTGAAGCTGGCAAGCACATTCAAAGGCATCCGGACCTGGGTGGAGGCTCTCTTATGCGAAGTGGGTCGCAAAGCCTAGGCGTAGCGAGATTTCTTCTTCGCAAGAAAACATAACATATTCAATATGGCCTGATGAAAAGAATACATACAGCAGGTCCGGGGTCCATTTCAGTCAATGTCATGCGGCATGCGGCTTTTGAACCAATGCCAGCACAGGAAGGCCTTCTGTCCCGTCTTGGGACATCTATCCCATGATTTCCACTCCACACTTCAGCGACCATAGTCGGCAGCTGCCGGGGCTAGATCCTCACCCACCAAGTGATCCACTGAGGCCCAATCCAAGACCTGCACAATCAGTTCAGAACAGCTGCGATTGCTCAATTCGACTAAGCTTGCCCCAACCTCCCAGTTATGTCCAGGATCTACTGCAAAGCGGCTGATGCCTCCGCAGACTGCCAGTGCGGCTCATCAGGACGGTGCAGGCTAGTCTGAAGTCTCGGATATTAACACTCCTAGCGTCTATCTATGTTATTTCTATGTTATTTCGTCCTTCCTTTCATTATTCATTTCACAATTTCACTTCTAGTTCCTGTTCTTGTTCCCTTCTAGAAGAGTTCTCGTGAGCGAAGCAATACCAAACACCTGATCCATCCAATTCCCAGTGCGTGTGCCCTCTCATGAAATTCAGGTCGGGCCGGTGATGGTCTTTGGAGCCAGTCTCCATCACTATTCAAACCTAATAGCAATGACCTCCAACCTAATACTAGCAGGAATGGCTTCCAACCCGGAAGCGATGGCCTCTAACCTAATAGCAAGGACCTTGTGAAACGTGGACGAATCTTTTGGGGCTTTGTCCATGTCCACCCTGGTAGAAGACCTTGCAAATAGATCCATCCAAACAACCCATGCATAATTCTGCCATGCTACAGGCATTTCCTGGCTTCGAGACCATGGTCGCTCCATTTTGGGAATGGCGCAACAGCTGTCCCAGGACCCCGCCGTGAGTCACCTGGTGTCAGATTCGTTTTCTTCCCAAAACCACGTGCAGCTCTCAGCTGAGCTCCAGAACTGCAATGACCACATCCTCCGAGGCGAGGCTGGTGCAAGCCTGGACCAGTCGACAAATATGTCCATCCCAAGAGCGATGGCCTCCATCCTACTAGTAGCTTCTTGCTCCTAGTAGTAAGGCCAGGAGCCCCTAGTAGCGTCCTTGCTCCTAGTAGCGATGCCAGGAGCCCCTAGTATTATGATGATCAAGACCCATCAAAGACTGGAAATCACTAAAAAGATTAGAAAAACAAGATGGAGCCCACGAACCCGAATGCAAACACGATCGAAAAGCTATATACATATGTCCAAATGACACTCTTGTAGGACACTCTTGTGGGTCACTCTTGTAGGACACTCTTTTGGCACACTCTTACAAGACACTCTTGTGGGACACTCTTGTAGGAAACTCTTGTGGGATACTCTTATGGACTCTCTTGTGAGACACTCTTGTAGGACACTGTTGTGGGTCACGCTTACACGACACTCTTGTAGGACACTCCTTGTGGGACACTCTTGTAGGAAACTCTTGTAAGATACTCTTGTGGGACACTCTTGTGGGGCACTCTTGTAGGACACTCTTGTGGGACACTCTTGTGGGACACTCTTGTAGGACACTCTTGTGGGACACTCTTGTGTGACACTCTTGTAGGAAACTCTTGTGGGACACACTTGTAGGACACTCTTGTGGGACGCTCTTATGGGACACTCTTGTGGGTCACTCTTGTGGGACACTCTCATAGGACACTCTTGTAGGACACGTTTGTGGGACACTCTTGTGGGACACTCTTGTGGGACACTCTTGTAGGACACTCTTGTGGGACACTCTTGTGGGGCACTCTTGTGGGAAACTCTTGTAGGAAACTCTTGTGGGACACTCTTATAGGGCACTCTTGTGTGACACTCTTCTGGGGCACTCTTGTAGGACACTCTTGTGGGACACTCTTGTGGAACACTCTTGTAGGACACTCTTGTAGGACACTCTTGTGAGACACTCTTGTAGGACACTCTTGTGGGTCACTTGCAGGACGCTCTTGTGGGACACTCTTGCGGGACACTCTTGTAGGACACTCTTCTGGGACACTCTTGTGGGTCACTCTTGTGGGACAATTGTTGTAGGAAACTTTTGTGGGACACTCTTGTGGGACACTCTTGTGGGGCACTAGAAGCAGTCCTGCGAGCGTTTCGTACGAGACGTCCTCCCAAAGTCACGCTTCGAGGCTGCAAGAGCGCTTCGTGCGAGACTTCCTCCAAAAGTCACGCGTCAAGTCTCCAAAACGAGCGTTTTGTACGAGACTTCCTCCAAAAGTCACACGTCAAGTCTCCAAAACGAGCATTTCGCACGAGACTTCCTCCAAAAGTCACGCGTCAAGTCTCCAAACCGAGCGTTTCGTACGAGACTTCCTCCAAAAGTCAAGCGGAAACACCCATCGGAGCACACACATCACGCAGCCCTGCCAAGCAGTTTCGCGATTCCACCCCCTCCAAACAACATCCGCTCACAGCGACATTCACCTCTACCACAACTCACAACCTCACGATTCCCTGCGCCTGCCACGAATCTTTCCGCGTCCACACGTCTAACGCCCACAAAGTACTGCGCCTGCCACGAAACGTCACCTCCGTCACCCTTCGCAACCTCACGATTCCCTGCAGCTGCCACTAGAATCGCACTTCCACGCCTCAAAACCCGCACAAAGTCCTGCGCCTGCCACGAAAAGTCGCAATATCATCTCATGTGAGCTTCAACAAAATTTGCACCACACCACACGCTTGGAATGATTTCGACCCGTTCTGAGCACACTCCCATCCACCAAAATCGGCATTTCAGCTGAGACTTGTCTCGAAAACCGAGCTTCGACGCCACACCCTGAAACGCAAATCCCAATGGCATGGCCACATCCAACACCCCAAAAACACGACTCTCCAAACGCTAATCCCAATGGAACTGCGCAGCAATCTGCAGATCTCACAAAACGCTGCGCCTGTGCAGCGAAACGCATCACGTTTCTTGCGCGGCATGTCATTTTCATGCAAATCACAATGGAATAGCGGCGCAAACTGACACGTGACACATCCATGAAAAGTCACTTGCAAAAGCTTTCCCCCATAATGGCAGCGCCTTCGCGCTCTACTGCGAACGGTTGCGGACGGTTGCGAACGGTTGCGGACGGTTGCGGACGGTTGCGAACTTAGAACCAACGTTGCGGGTCACGAACAAGACTCTACCCCCAGACACCCAAGAGTTAAATGAGAACCCTTCGCTACGCATTCGGGAATAAAACATAAATAAATAAACACAAAAACATAAAACTGTGCCAAACCGTAGATACAGAAAGAACGCAAAACAAAAACAAAAAACAAGATGGAGCCCACGAACCCGAATGCAAACACATTCAAAAAAGCTATATATGTCCAAATGACACTCTTGTAGGACACTCTTGTGGGACACTCTTGTGGGACACTCTAGTAGGAAACTCTTGTGGGACACTCTTGTAGGACACTCTTGTGGGATACTCCTGTAGGACACTCTTGTGGGACACTCTTGTGGGACACTCTTGTGGGACACTCTTGTGCGACACTCTTGTGGGACACTCTTGTGGGACACTCTTATGGGACACTGTTGCGGGACACTCTTGTGGGACACTCTTAAGGGACACTCTTGTGGGACACTCTCGCGGGACACTGTTGCGGGACACTGTTGTGGGACACTCCTGTGGGACACTCATTTGGGACACTCTTGTGGGACACTCTTGTGGGACACTCTTGCAGGACACTCTTGCGGGACAGTCTTGTGGGACACTCTCTTGTGGGACACTCTTGTGGGACACTCTTGTGGGACACTCTTGTAGGAAACTCTTGTGGGACACTCTTGTAGGACACTCTTGTGGGACACTCTTGTAGGGCACTCTTGTGGGACACTCTAGTGGGACACTCTTGTAGGAAACTCTTGTGGGACACTCTTGTGGGACACTCTTGTGGGATACTCTTGTGGGACACTCTTGTGGGACACACTCTTGTGGGACACTGTTGCGGGACACTCTTGTGGGACACTCTTAAGGGACACTCTTGTGAGACACTCTTGTGGGACACTCTTTGTAAGAAACTCTTAAGGGACACTCTTGTGAGACACCCATCGGAGCACACACATCACGCAGCCCTGCCAAGGAGTTTCGCGATTCCAGCCCCTCCAAACGACACCCGCTCACGCGCCAATCCCAATGTGACAGCGACATTCACCTCTACCACAACTCACAACCTCCCGATTCCCGCGCCTGCCACGAATCTTTCCGCGTCCACACGTCTAACGCGCACAAAATACAGCGCCTGCCACGAAATGTCACCTCCGTCACACATCGCAACCTCACGATTCCCTGCGCCTGCCACGAAAATCCCACTTCCACACCTCAAAACCCGCACAAAGTACTGCGCCTGCCACGAAAAGTGACAATATCATCTCATGTCAGCTTCAACAAAATTTGCACCACACCACACGCTTGGAATGATTTCGACCCGTTCTGAGCACACTCCCATCCACCAAAATCGGCATCTCAGCTGAGACTTGTCACGAAAACAGAGCTTCGATGCCACACCCTGAAACGCAAATCCCAATGGCACGGCCACATCCAACACCCCAAAAACACGACTCTCCAAACGCTAATCCCAATGGAACTGCGCAGCAATCTGCAGATCTCACAAAACGCTGCGCCTGTGCAGCGAGACGCATCACGTTGCTTGCGCGACATGTCTTTTTCATGCAAATCACAATGGAATAGCGGCGCAAACTGACACGTGACACATCCATGAAAAGTCACTTGCAAAAGCTTCCCCCAATGGCAGCGCCTTAGCGCTCTACCGCGAACGGTTGCGGACGGTTGCGGACGGTTGCGAACGGTTGCGAACGGTTGCGGACGGTTGCGGACGTAGAAACAACGGATTGCGAACAAGGCTCTACCCCCAGACCCTCAAGAGTTAAACGAGAACCCTTCGCTACGCATTCGGGAAAAATAGATAGATAGCAACACAAGGATAAAATCACAGTAGGTGGTGATTCATCAAACATTTATACTATATAGTATATACGCATGGCTGGGTGCTTGTGTTAATTTTGTTTTATGTTTGTTTGTTTTTTGTTTTTTGTTTGTTGTCTGTTGTCTTTACACATGTTGTGATTGTTTTTTTTTGTGCTGTTTGTGTTTTGTTTGTTTTTGTTTTTATTTTCCTTTTCAGGATCATCAGTTATTGATTATTTATTTTTCATAACCCCTAGTAGCTTCTTGCTCCTAGTAGTAAGGCCAGGAGCCCCTAGTAGCGTCCTTGCTCCTAGTAGCGATGCCAGGAGCCCCTAGTAGTGTCCTTGCTCCTAGCAGCGATGCCAGGAGCCCCTAGTAGCTTCTTGCTCCTAGTAGTAAGGCCAGGAGCCCCTAGTAGCGTCCTTGCTCCTAGTAGCGATGGCCTCCATCCTAGAAGAGACATGCCCGTAATTGCCCGTATTTTTGGATGCTCCCTCGAGCGTAAGACCCTCTCCTCTTCTAGGCATAGCACGGCTCTCTTCCGGACATCTTCCATGCTTTCCTTTGCCAGGATGGTGACAACACAAGGTCTGAGGTAGTACTGCCAAACCAGCAGAAGCTCAAGAAAATGTAAAATGTAGCAAAATGCTGTGAACTCCTGTCCAAAACAAAGGAGGTGATTAAAGATCCAAAGTGGACCTAGAAATCTCCAATCTGCCTACAAGAATCACCACCAGCAATGCGCTTGTGCGAAAGCTCCTCGTTCACCTCACTTGTTGCGACCAATACAAGCCTCTGCAGATGTCCGGTCATGTCACATGCTGTGTCTCTGGTCGGCAGGTGTTTGTTGCTCATCGCAGCGATGATCGCCAGACACTCTGATCTTGTTCCTCTACTTCCACCCCACAAGAAGCGAACCTTTTCATGCCGAGCAGCTGTTGGGGCACACCAATGGCCTTGGACTTACACGGGACAAGAAACGATCAAAGATTATCATGCATTTTAGTTAATTGAAAAAATAAATTTTAGCAAGACACTGAAGATGTTCCAATCCATGGCATGTTGCTTGGCCGCTTCATCTTTACCTGGTAGGTTTGGCAGGCAAACCGACCAAGAATACCACAGAACAAGCGGATCGCCTCACCAAGAAAGCAGCTAGGTGGATAATAAAATGGACCGGAATGTTCTTCGAAAGCCGAGGAGCTCATTCCCTCGATCACTCCAAGGTTCCATTCATTTAGGCGCTGGTCCTGCATCAAATCCGCCGCCTTTGAAGACGAAAAGACTTCCGCGCTCAATGGCCGCTGCACTTTTTTCGTCTCGGACACTGTATCGAAACGGCCACGCTTAACAGAGGCCCTTCATATCCCTTCCTGCTACAAGCGCGGTTTTTGGACCGCTTTCTTTGTCTTCCTTGCCACATGGAGGCCATCGCTCTTAGGATGGAGGCCGTCGCTCTTAGGTTGGAGGCCAGCGCTATTAGGTTGGAGTAAAGTCTATCGTTGGTCGTGCGCAGCTCCTGGGAAACCGATGCACTCAAGGCCTGTGCAATGGACTCTGCAGTGACCACTGCACGTTGCAGCGAACCTCGCTGGCCAAAGAAGGAGCAATGTCCTGACGCTTTTCAAAGCCTTAACGAAAGAACTCAAAAGGGATGATGGGGGGCCGTTCATCCCTGCATCTTTGTGCAGTCTACTTCCAAGCGTCCGAACTCGTTTCAGATCCCAAAGTATTAAGTCTGGCGCATTAGGATCCATATGAATCCATCAAGGAGTTCAACTTTGCTCCAGCTAAGCCAAGTTTCTGGAGTAAACGAACTTAACCTTCTGGCCTTGGACTTCTTTCCTGATGCGAAGAAAAGTAGATCGACGCAAAGCGAAGCAAGGATTGGTAAGGCCACAAGGGTTGGTAAGGGGTCCTTTTATAATGTCTCAGACAGCCTAGGGCCCTAAGGCCCTAAGGAAGTGTTCTTGTAAGCATCGGTGGCATTGCCATAAACTCAAACCATGCAGAATTTCTGCAGCTTTGGATCAATACAGCATCAGCACACCTCAGAATTTAAAGAACGTGGAATCCGTTGGCTCGATCGACCCCGCGGATCCGACCAGCGAAAAAGCACGAAGGAAATTTGTCCAACGAAGTCGCTCAATGTCTTGTGCTCCAAAAGGAGCACAAGGACATGAATGTGTTTTGCTATAGCGCAACGGCTTAACCGGCCCCTATGTTCAATAGCATGTTGCATGGTTGAGCCCCCCGCAGGGTGTGTGTGTGTGTGTGTATGTGTGTGTGTCTTTCAGTGTCTTTGGGCAAGACTCAAAAAGGACTCAACTTCCACGAGTTTCCACCCATGTCGGCCATTTTGTCAGTGGTCACAGTGCCACGACCAGATACGACCAGGGTACTCGCCACCACAGCGACCAGCCATGGCACCGTTGTGCTTGGAGGAGGCCACGGGAATTCAGCGGCACATCTGTGGTGCCTTGGACTCTCAGCTGGCGATTCCAATCCTTGGACACGATCGGTCACCAGATCTCAAGGACCTTTCAACGGAATGCTTTTGAAGCACCAGTACCAAGGGGATGCAAGGGGGGCAGAGTGCAGAGCGGGCAGGGCCGCAAGGGCTGGGGCAAAAGAGAAAGGAGTGTTTTACTATGTTTGTTAATTTATTTGTTTTAGCCCGTGGGGGGGGTAGGCCGCTAGGAGGGAGAGGTAACTAGTAGCTTAAGTAGCTACTACCTAGGACGTAGGATAGCTGGCACTAATGATTTGGTTCCTAGAATTTTAGGGAAACTTATATAACTAATAGCAATGACTCCAACAGTTTCCCAGCGGCTGTCTCTCCATGTCTGACAATCACACAGGTGAACAGGCGCGGGGCGGTTGAGCCGTGCCTGGAAAACTCAGGCTCAAATCGTTTCAATTCATACCCAAATCATTTCAAACACCTTTGCAGGTTGAAGCACTGGTTGACACATTGTGTTCTTTTACCTTTTTCTACAGCACTTATTGCCTTGTGCCTCTTTGTCTTTCTTTCTACCTTTAGACTCTTTCTAGACCATTCATCGTTCTTCTTGCCGAAAGGCTTTGGGTCTTGGTAACAAGAAAGCCTTTCAAAATGGCTATCAGGCCATGATGCTTCAGGTTTCCATTCGGGATATGGTCACAGTCCCAGCGCCTTCATGTCACCCCACAAATTCCAAACGAGGGAAAGAAAGAAAGGAGAAACAAGATGGAGCCCACGAACCCGAATGCAAACACATATGTCAATCCACTGTGTATAGAAAGAGACACAGCCGGTTAGATTATCTTTTTCACACTCCGGTACGCTGTTGGACATCATGCGCTGGGGAATCCACCACCAAGGCAGCATGTGCTGGGGACTTCACCACCAAGCTCCGTCTTCGTCATGAAGGGTCTTTGTTTTGCATTCAAATCAAGCGCTGGCGTAAAGGTTCTGGCAGATCCACATCACGAAAGAAACAATTGCATTGTCCCAAAATCTCGAAAAGAAGCACTTGAAAATGATAACCGTCCACATAATACAGAGAAATCCACAACTGCGGCTGTGGGACACTCTTAAGGGACACTCTTGTGAGACACTCTTGTGGGACACTGTTGCGGGACACTCTTGTGGGACACTCTTACGTGACACTCTTGTAGGACACTCTTGTGGGACACTCTGGTAGGACACTCTTGTGGGACACTCTTAAGGGACACTCTTGTAGCACACTCTTGTGGTCTTGTGGGACACTGTTGCGGGACACTCTTGTGGGACACTCTTATGTGACACTCTTGTAGGACACTCTTGTGGGACACTCGGTAGGACACTCTTGTGGGACACTCTTACGGGACACTCTTGTAGCACACTCTTGTAGGACACTCTTGTGGGACACACTGGTGAGACACTCTTGTGGGACACTCTATAAGGACACTCTTGTGGGACACTCTTGTGGGACACTCTTGTAGGACACTCTTGTGGGACACTCTTGTGGGACACTCGTGCGGGACACTCTTGTAGGACACTCTTGTGGGACACTCTTATAGGACACTCTTGTAGGACACTCTGGTGGGACACTCTGGTAGGACACTCTTGTGGGACAATCTTAAGGGACACTCTTGTAGACACTGTTGCGGGACACTCTTGTGGGACACTCTTACGTGAAACTCTTGTAGGACACTCTTGTGGGACACTCTGGTAGGACACTCTTGTGGGACACTCTTGTGGGACACTCTTGCGGGACACTCTTGTTGGAAACTCTTGTCGGATACTCTTCACTCTTGTGGGACACTCTTGTGGGACACTCTTGTGGGACACTGTTGCGGGACACTGTTGTGGGACACTCCTGTGGGACACTCTTGTGGGACACTCTTGTGGGACACTCTTGTAGGAAACTCTTGTGGGACACTCTTGTGGGACACTCTTGTGGGACACTCTTGTAGGAAACTCCTGTGGGAGACTCTTGTGGGACACTCTTGTGGGACACTATTGTGGGACACTCTTGTGGGACACTCCTAAGGGACACTCTTGTGGGACACTCATACGGGACACTCTTGTGGGACACTCTTGTAGGACGCTCTTGTGGGACACTCTTCTGGGAGACTCTTGCGGGACACTCTTGTAGGAAACTCTTGTGGGATACTCTTGTAGGACACTCTTGTGGGACACTCTTGTAGGGCTCTCTTGTGGGACACTCCTGTAGGACACTCTTGTGGGACACCCTTGTGGGACACTCTTGTAGGAAACTCTTGTGGGACACTCTTGTCAGACACTTGTGGGACACTCTTGTGGGACACTCTTGTAGGAAACTCCTGTGGGACACTTTTGTAGGACACTCTTGTGGGACACTATTGTGGGACACTCTTGTGGGACACTATTGTGGGACACTCTTGTGGGACACTCTTGAGGGACACTCTTGTGGGACACTCTTGTACGAAACTCTTGTGGGATACTCTTGTAGGACACTCTTGTGGGATACTCTTGTAGGACACTCTTGTGGGACACTCTTGTAGGGCACTCTTCGTACGAGACTTCCTCCAAAAGTCACACGTCAAGTCTCCAAAACGAGCGTTTCGTACGAGACTTCCTCCAAAAGTCACACGTCAAGTCTCCCAAACGAGCGTTTCGTACGAGACTTCCTCCAAAAGTCACGTGTCAAGTCTCCAAACGGAGCGTTTCGTACGAGCAAAGTCTGCAAAACGAGCATTTCGTACGAGACTTCCTCCAAAAGTCAAGCAGAAACACCCATCGGAGCACACACATCACGCAGCCCTGCCAAGCAGTTTCGCGAGTCCAGCCCCTCCAAACAACACCCGTTCACACGCCAATCCCACTGTGACAGCGACATTCACTTCCACCACAACTCACGACCTCACAATTCCCTGCGCCTGCCACGAATCTTTCCGCATCCACATGTATGTTTGGTTCCCCTTGTCTGGGGGCTTGCTTTGCATCCAGGGTTTTGATGTGAAAGCACTTTCTTTGTCTGGTGAGTCATCATCAAAAAATAGTCAAGCACTTTCATGGCATTGGTCCACAAGGGATGGCAGGACATCCTAACGCGCACAAAGTACTGCGCCTGCCACGAAATGTCACCTCCGTCACACCTCGCAACCTCACCATTCCCTGCGCCACGAGAATCGCACTTCCACGCCTCAAAACCCACACAAAGTACTGCGCCTGCCACGAAAAGTGACAATATCATCTCATGTCAGCTTCAACAAAATTTGCACCACACCACACGTTTGGATTGACTTCGACCCGTTCTGAGCACTCACGAAAACCGAGCTTCGATGCCACACCCTGAAGCGCAAATCCCAATGGCACGGCCATGTCCAACACCCCAAGAACACGACTCTCCAAACGCTAATCCCGAAGGAACTGCGTAGCAACCTGCGGATCTCACAAAACGCTGCGCCTGTGCAGCGAAATGCATCACGCTTCTTGCGCGACATGTCCTTTTCACGCAAATCACAATGGAATAGCGTCGCAAACTCACACGTGACACATCCATGCATAGTCACTTGCAAAAGCTTCCCCCAATGGCAGCGCCTGCGAACGGTTGCGGACGGTTGCGGACGGTTGCGGACGGTTGCGAACGGTTGCGAACGGTTGCGGACGGTTGCGGACGTAGAAACAACGGATCGCGAACAAGGCTCTACCCCAGACCCCCAAGAGTTAAACGAGAACCCTTCGCTACGCATTCGGGAAAAAGGGTCTCGAGGTTTTAAGAAGAGAAAAAGAATGGAGAAGGAAAAGGAAAGGAACGTGGTTAAATTAAAACATAACAGCGTTTGTACAGTACTTGCATGTACTTGCTGTATCTTGCTTTGGTCCCACTTTTCGCCCATCAACCCACTTGCCTGGCAGCAAGCAACGCACATGCCAGAGCAGCCCGGCGAAAGGGACGAGGCTGCATCCACACAGGCCACAGGTCAATTGATACTGTCGCCGTCAACGTGATCTACTAAAGAGTTGATCAATTTCCGATGTGCATCTAATGCCTACTAGGAACAAGAAGCTACTAGGGGCTCTTGGCCTTACTACTAGGAGCAAAGGACGCTACTAGGGGCTCCTGGCATCGCTACTAGGAACAAGAAGCTACTAGAAACAACCGTGGCTTTGAATTTAGTCATTGAGATGGACGACAGTTTAGTCATTAGCGTAAAAGACGGAACATGTAGGAACAAGTTGAATTGCAGGTATCAACAGGTGATGATTCGACATAGTCTTGAATATCTTGAAATGCTGTCGAGTCCAGTGCATACGTCACACATGTCACACATGTCGCATTCTGTTGAGTGAGGAGTCAATCTTGGGGTCCCGGGCTTCACTCCCGGGTCGCTATACCTTGGTAACTCCATTTCCAACCTCTGCCGCCTGAGGTTCGTTCGCCAAGCAACTCTAGATATCTGCTCATCGCATTCCAAACTCCTGACAAACCCACCAATGGCAAGCGAACAATCCAAATCTCCAAATCACATCGTAAGCGCAACGTTCGCGACCAGTTCTAGGCAGTGAACCCAGTTCAAACGCCAGTCCCATGGTTCAGTGATGCTCTTCAGTTGTTTCCAATGGCTTCAAGGTGCGCTTTGTATGATGTAGATTAAAAGGCCACGTCTGTCGTTTGAAGATGATGATCCGCACTGTTGGATAGATTCTAGCTCGAAAATGACTGCAAAAATAGCGCCATGTGACCCTGTCCTGGCAAAGCTCCAAGGTTTTGATTGCTCGATGAGTTGAGGGAGTCGACGACTTGTGTTGGCCGCGTTAGGTCGACTTGTGTTGCCTTTCGGTTGGCTGCTGGCGCCTGGCTCTTCACTTTGCTGAACCGAAGTGACTGTGGCAAACCTCTTGCATGTGCAGCTTGAGCCAACCATCTGCATGCTACTTAGGCTGGAAAGAGGCAATGTTGAAGGCGGACAATGAATCAAACTGAAACATAAGAACTAGCTGGCCAGTTCCCACCTTACATCTTCTAAGACTTGAGATCCTTCAATTCTAACTATATATATATAACTGCATAAAAAGTAAAAGCATGTGCTTATATATTAAATATATATATATATATGTGCATGTGTCTACATATTCTTTCCCAATGGAGCAGTCTTATGAGGGACAAGAGACTTTATGAAGCACGGACTGGCGATGAACCAAAGGGTTGTATCTACAAATCAAAGGCAAAGGGAGAGAAAAGAAGAACAACAGCAGCGGACTAAGCATACAACTTGCAAGAATCAAACACAATCCAAACGTTAGCTGCGTATTGAGACCACGTGACTGTGACTGGGCACAGCTGACCAAACAAACGAACAAAGACTGAAGCATACAGACATGCAGTACCACCATATGACCATCTTCAAAGACTGACAAACCCGCACACAGAAAGTTCTTGCCCACTCTCCGGAGGAAGTGTCCGGTCTGCGTACGCCAACCTTTACCTTCCAAGCACTCTCCATATAGCAACGATCTCTGACTGTGATTTCTGATGAAAAGACCTCAAAAAACACACTGAATTTGCAATAACAAACCAAGATTTAGAACACAAACCATGGGGGCGTTCCTTTGCATCAAGAAAAACCATGAATTTGGATGTGTCTTGCCAAAGTTGGCTGGTGAAAGAATCAAAATTTGGGAGCATTGCCCAGGCGATTGACGGGATTTCTGAAGCCTTTGAAGAGGATGAATTATGTCTTAGCAGCACATTGTCCACGACAAATATGTACGAGCAGTTGACCACTGTGCGTTTGACATTGAAACGGTGGTTGTTTCAAGTTGCAGAAAATGAAAACGGCACAAAACAAAGTACATATGCGTTCTGGCAACTCCAAGGAAACCCGAGAGAAGCCGCAGCCTAGTAACAGCTTGCTTTAGTTACGCAGTTTGGCAAAAAACAGTTTGGAGACCTGGCCTCTCAAAAATGGCACTATCACTTCCTGATGCAATATTGATGTTAACGACGTAGATCGTTGCCTATCAATATGATCAACTTTCAAAAGGCCTCCACTTCAGAAGAGTGACGAAAGATTGGCAAACGTTGTACAAAATGAAGGAACACAGGCTCAGGGACATATTCAAGCGATGTAGAAACAGTTGGGTTTTCCAAACTGTGTTTGCTACTTTGTGCCATTGCAGCCCACATGGATGTTGAACAAAGATCAAAATACAAAAAACAGCTTCCAGCACAATCAACAGCTGAGGCCAACCACATCTGAAAATGAAACGACGCATCTTTTGGCTGCATGATCGCGATTGGCTTCGGTTTTTTGGTTGAGACAGTTTGAAACCATGTCCTTCTGTGGGACAGCGGTGCATTTATACGTAAACTGTACACTTGAAGTCAAGCAGTCGATTGTAGGTTACTGCCTGGCAGCATCAGCGCCGTAATAGCATGTCATAGCCAGCCTTCGTGCCTGCCAGGCGGCTGGAACTATCACCGGAAGTTTTTTCAGAACAATTTCTTCAACAGCAACAAACTCGTCCGCTTGGCCCAACGAGTGCTTCATGTTTGTGCTACTGGCGTGACAATTGCGCTAATTGGTAGTCGTGCACTTTTCAGCAAATCACACATATTTCTTCCCATGGTGTTACACTTCTCATCAAACGACACCGCCTCATGTTCACTGTAATACATTGGGCACTTTGTAATCACGTCTGCATCTGATGTCTTTTCACAAATTTGTGTGACAGTTCTCATAACACTCGCCTGTTAGATTGCTCTGGATTACAACGGTCGACACACTTAGATAAAGGCTCGCAAGAGCAGTATGAGTGATGATCTTCCAGTGAATCTAGCCCTTTACGCTTACTGCAGATTAGACTTTGGCTGGTGAACCGCAAGGTGGAAGAGTCCGCATCAACAGTAGTGTTTAACATGGGTGAAACGGAGGAATCTCATTAGCTCTTTAGCACTCTAAGGGCATATTAAAGCAGTTGGCGCAGGTACAAGATACTGCTTCCAGTATGTCATCCAGCCGAACACCATAGCTTCAGCTAGGTGAACGGCCGCCGTGCCCCCTGCTTTGTACAATTAGTGTGGTCAAGTTCCGAAGAAACAGGAATTGACACACACAACCAGCCGGTTCGGCGCACGCTCTTTTTCCGGCGGAAGGGGGGTGTGGGAAGGGGTGGGGGTGCATTGACTAAACGAGCCTAGAAGTCAACCTAACAAGCCTGAAAGAAAGAACAAACAAACGAAAAAGGCAAGGCAAGAAAAGAAAAGAAAAGGTGCAGTACGGGGTGCGTTGACTAAACGAGCCAAAACGTCGACCTAACAAGCCTGAAGGAAAGCCCAAGCAAACAAAAAAGGCAAGGAACGAAAGGGTGCAAGGGGTGTGGGGTGGGGGGAGGGTTGTAGGCCCGAAGGGCATTGACAAGAAGCCGAAGCCGGCGCGCACTTGACTAAAAAGCCTCAATTACACCTAAATAGCCTCTAGAAAACGAAAAAAGACCTAGAAAACGAAGAGCAACAGCAGGAAGGAAAGAACCGAAAAATTAATACATAGCAGTCCAGCCTGTGGTCTATGAATACTTAGCCGCGTGGAATGTCATTCTTCAGAAGGATTGTCCGTGAGCCCTGCGCCATATGATCAGCAATCTCGAGCAAATACGCAAAATCGACGAAGTTCCAGTGCAGGTGGAAGGGTCTGGGAATGTTCACCCGTGGGGGTATGTGCATATGCGGCGCCCCTCGCTGGGGATCACACCACAGCCCACAGTGGGACTCTGTGGCGAGACACACTTAGATAAAGGCTGCCAAGAGCAGCATCAGTGATGATCTTCCAGTGAATCTAACCCTTTACGCTTACTGCAGATTAGACCTTGGCTGGTGAACCGCAAGGTGGAAGAGTCCGCATCAACAGTAGTGTTTAACATGGGTGAGACGGAGGAAACTCATTAGCTCTTTAGCACTCTAAGGGGATATTAAAGCAGTTGGCGCAGGTACAAGATACTGCGTCCAGTATCTCATCCAGCCGAACACCATAGCTTCGGCTAGGTGAACGGCCGCCGTGCCCCCTGCTTTGTACAATTAGTGTGGTCAAGTTCCGAAGAAACAG